GTCGGACAGCCGCGGCGGCGTCAGCAGCGCGCCCAGCCGCAGCAGCCGCCGCCTCAGCAGCAGCGCGACGTAGAGGCCCCCCGCGAAGACCTCCGACGCCGCCGTCGCCACGGCGGCACCAGCGACGCCGAGGCGCGCCTAGGGTTGGGGTTGGGGTTGGGGTCAGGGTGGGGGTGGGGGTTGGGATCCGGGTAGGGACTTAGCGCGCCCCGAAGATGAGGACCGGGTCGAGGACGAGGTTGAGCGCCTGCGTCAATGAAGAAAGGCGCGAATGGGAATTCCGCCTTGCTCGGAGCATCGTCTGCATACGAGGGCTGCGAATACAGCTGAGTACGGCTCACTACGGTCGTCTCGAGCGCTAGTCGGAACACACGGTCCTTATTCGGCATCTGGGGATGCGAGCGTTGGAGGCTAGCGAGACACGCAGCGGCGTCACGTTGTCAAGGAGGCCGCGGAAGGCGGCGAAGCCGATCGAAGAGAGGAGGGCGGGGATGAGGGACAGGGAGCGCAGCCGCAGGTACCGCCTTGCGTACTCAAAGGCGGGCGCCGTCGGCGGCAGCACCACCGACAGCGGCGCGGCCGGGAACAGTACCAGCAAGGCGGTGCCGAGGGCGCCGAGAACGTTAGCGAGGAAGAGGGCCTCGCAGACGCGCCGCGCCGCGCCATCGATGTCGCCGCCGCCAGCGGCCTTGGCCACGAGAGGGGCCGTGATGGTCGGGATGAAGGCGATGAGAAAATAGGTCGAAAAGAAGACTTGGTTGGCAGCGCCCTGGCCGGCCAGCGCGAGCGCGTCACCCATCCTCCCGATCCAGAAGGTGTCGACCGCGCCAACGAGAGGGATCACCGCCAGGTTGGCGATGGACGGGAGTGCCACGCTGAGGATCCGATCGTCGAGCTCGTCGCCGCGCGGAAGCGCATCACGCCACCGCGGCACACGATGCTGAACGGCGCTGTCGATGCAGGCGACCGCTCCGCCGCTACGCGCCGCGGCGCCTCGTAGGGCGGTGCAGGGAGCGAGGAGCGACAGCAACAGCACGGCCGGCTGCAGCCGCGGACGTCGTGCGATTTTTGCTGCCATGCGGGCCTGTCCCTCTCGGTCGTTTCAAGAACTTTCACGCTCGAGACTGATGTACATGAGCTCTTACGAACATACCCGAGGGTGAACTGCTGACAGGGTTTGCGATGAGAAGCGATCCGAACGTGGCATCCGGGTGATTAGATCACTACCGCCGTAACGCAAGAGCACTGCGACGGATCGGGCTCATGCTAGCATCCACCTCGCGAGCCGACGTTCTGGCTCACTCAGCGAGGTTGCTGCGGAGCACTCGCGGACCGGTTCTTCTGGCCCAGCGAGGCCGCTGCGGGACACACCGGCGCCTCGGTTCGCTCCTCAACGCAAACTCGGTCGAGCAAGAGGTCAGGTGTGTGTGTGTGTAAATAAAGGCGGCGCGGCACGGTAAGGGTCGGCGGTAAGGCGGCGCGGCGGCAACAGACGGCAGGCAGGATTTTCAGTGTACTTTTAGCTTACTGAAAAGGGAGAGGGGGGACTGCTGAGTGACTTGCTTGCTTGGTGGCGTGGGTGCGGTGCTGGTGTGGGGGAGGGAGGGAAGGTGTGTGTGGGGGGGGGGGGGTTACATTTGACGCGACGGCCCGCGCGCCGCAGCCCGGCGCATTTAGTAAGGGACGCACTAATTCTAATAATTGGTCGGATCTCGGATGCTCTGTAAAATTTCATCATCGTCGTCGCGAAGCCATGACAGAATGATCGTCGTCAAAGTAACAAGTCGTCAAAAGTTTCTTACGCAATAGAGCGGGTCCATCATAAACTTGCAAACTGGTCTAAGTTTTTCCCCGCAGCCGGACGTGTCCCGGCAGCGCCGAATGAAACTTATTCAGCCAAAGGGCTGCCCCCCCCGCGCCGAGCCGGCGTTGACTGTGGCGTAGAAGCGCGCTGTGCGCCATCACGGCCCGTGCGAGGAGACAAGGCGCCGCGTGCACGGCATCTGCGCGCGCGATAGCGTGTACCGGCAGATCGGTGGACGGCCCACATGTTGCTCCACGCGGCTGCAACATGTTCTCTGACAAACAAGTTGCTCAATGAACACAGCGTTGGTCAATACAACCGCACGATTGCGCTGCTCGGGAATTTCGGGCGACGATTCCCGGACAATGAGGCCATCAGTCAGCGATCTCCCAGCCACATGTCCCGCATTCTGTCGTACGGATGTGGCCCGGGCGAGGAGGCCCTTGCGCTGCAACAGTGGTATGGGTCAAATGTCACCGTGTACTGTACAGACATCAAGCCTGGGCTGGTCGACGCCGTCGCGCGACGCAACCAGCCGGGCATACGCGCCGTCAACCTGAGCGTCGCCAGCTCGATGACCTTTGACCTCGTGACGTGCTTTTTCGTCCTATTCACCAGAATGTCTAAGATCGTCTTTCGCAGCTTTCTGGGCGACTTACTGCGCCTCGCTCCCACGGCCGCGGTCGTCGGCCACCGCACGGGCTCCTGGAAGCACAGCCGCTTCAATTCAAGCCTCATCGAGACCGAGCCGGGATGCTGCACGTCTCGGTTTAGCACAGGGCTGCTGTGCGAGCGGCTCGGCGCCGCTCGCGAGGTGGGCGTCGTCTAGCTAGCTCTCGGCGACGTGCCAGAACCCTCCACGAGTCACTGACCGACGCGCGTCCGACCCGATGCTACACCGGCCTGTGCTGCACTCCTCGGTCTCGCATGCGGGCGATGCTGCACGTCTCGGTTTAGCACAGGGCTGCTGTGCGAGCGGCTCGGCGTCGCTCGCGAGTTGGGCGTCGTCTAGCTAGCTCTCGGCGACGCGCCAGAACCCTCCACGAGTCACTGACCGACACGCGTCCGACCCGATGCTACACCGGCCTGTGCTGCACTCCTCGGCCTAGCATATACCGGGATGCTGCACGTCTCGGTTTAGCACAGGGCTGCTGTGCGAGCGGCTCGGCGTCGCTGGCGAGCCGGGCGTCGTCTAGCTAGCTCTCGGCGACGTGCCAGAACCCTCCACGAGTCACTGACCGACGCGCGTCCGACCCGATGCTACACCGGCCTGTGCTGCACTCCTCGGTCTCGCATGCGGGCGATGCTGCACGTCTCGGTTTCGCACAGGGCTGCTGTGCGAGCGGCTCGGCGTCGCTCGCGAGTTGGGCGTCGTCTAGCTAGCTCTCGGCGACGTGCCAGAACCCTCCACGAGTCACTGACCGACGCGCGTCCGACCCGATGCTACACCGGCCTGTGCTGCACTCCTCGGTCTCGCATGCGGGCGATGCTGCACGTCTCGGTTTAGCACAGGGCTGCTGTGCGAGCGGCGCGGCGTCGCTGGCGAGCCGGGCGTCGTCTAGCTAGCTCTCGGCGACGCGCCAGAACCCTCCACGAGTCACTGACCGACGCGCGTCCGACCCGATGCTACACCGGCCTGTGCTGCACTCCTCGGCCTAGCATATACCGGGATGCTGCACGTCTCGGTTTAGCACAGGGCTGCTGTGCGAGCGGCTCGGCGTCGCTCGCGAGCCGGGCGTCGTCTAGCTAGCTCTCGGCGACGCGCCAGAACCCTCCACGAGTCACTGACCGACGCGCGTCCGACCCGATGCTACACCGGCCTGTGCTGCACTCCTCGGCCTAGCATATACCGGGATGCTGCACGTCTCGGTTTAGCACAGGGCTGCTGTGCGAGCGCCTCGACGTCGCTCGCGAGTTGGGCGTCGTCTAGCTAGCTCTCAGCGACGCGCCAGAACCCTCCACGAGTCACTGACCGACGCGCGTCCGACCCGATGCTACACCGGCCTGTGCTGCACTCCTCGGTCTCGCATGCGGGCGATGCTGCACGTCTCGGTTTAGCACAGGGCTGCTGTGCGAGCGGCTCGGCGTCGCTCGCGAGTTGGGCGTCGTCTAGCTAGCTCTCGGCGACGCGCCAGAACCCTCCACGAGTCAGTGCTCTGAATGTCATGCTACACCGGCCTGTGCTGCACTCCTCGGCCTAGCATATACCGGGATGCTGCACGTCTCGGTTTAGCATAGGGCTGCTGTGCGAGCGGCTCGGCGTCGCTCACGAGGTGGGCGTCGTCTAGCTAGCTCTCGGCGACGTGCCAGAACCCTATACGAGTCACTGAACGACGCGCGTCCGACCCGATGCTACACCGGCCTGTGCTGCACTCCTCGGCCTAGCATATACCGGGATGCTGCACGTCTCGGTTTAGCATAGGGCTGCTGTGCGAGCGGCTCGGCGTCGCTCGCGAGGTGGGCGTCGTCTAGCTAGCTCTCGGCGACGTGCCAGAACCCTCCACGAGTCACTGACCGACACGCGTCCGACCCGATGCTACACCGGCCTGTGCTGCACTCCTCGGCCTAGCATATACCGGGATGCTGCACGTCTCGGTTTCGCACAGGGCTGCTGTGCGAGCGGCTCGGCGTCGCTCGCGAGGTGGGCGTCGTCTAGCTAGCTCTCGGCGACGCGCCAGAACCCTCCACGAGTCGCTGACCGACGCGCGTCCGACCCGATGCTACACCGGCCTGTGCTGCAGCCTGCACTCCTCGGTCTCGCATGCGGGCGATGCGATGCTGCACGTCTCGGTTTAGCACAGGGCTGCTGTGCGAGCGGCTCGGCGTCGCTCGCGAGTTGGGCGTCGTCTAGCTAGCTCTCGGCGACGCGCCAGAACCCTCCACGAGTCACTGACCGACACGCGTCCGACCCGATGCTACACCGGCCTGTGCTGCACTCCTCGGCCTAGCATATACCGGGATGCTGCACGTCTCGGTTTAGCACAGGGCTGCTGTGCGAGCGGCTCGGCGTCGCTCGCGAGTTGGGCGTCGTCTAGCTAGCTCTCGGCGACGCGCCAGAACCCTCCACGAGTCGCTGACCGACGCGCGTCCGACCCGATGCTACACCGGCCTGTGCTGCACTCCTCGGTCTCGCATGCGGGCGATGCTGCACGTCTCGGTTTCGCACAGGGCTGCTGTGCGAGCGGCTCGGCGTCGCTGGCGAGCCCTGACCCGCGATGGCGACGTATGGCTACACGGGAAACACGGCGGTCGGCGCAAAACACGGGACTCGGCTAGAGTGTGGCTGAGAGCCTCGTATAGAGTCGACACCGGCACCGGAAGTGGACAAGCGGAACCCGGGGACCGGTCTGCCACACTTTTTGTGTGAAACCGCCTCGAGCGCGCGTGAAGAGGGAGCGAGGAGTGTTTTTGCTTGCCTCTAGACGGGTTCGTCTCTCTCTCTCCTCTCTACGACCGCTCGGTCTGACATCTCTCAAACAAACGCCAGTCTGCCAGAGTCTCTCACACACATCTCTCAAATAGAGATAGGGCAGCTAGGCCAGCGTTGACACATCCCTACATTCAGGAGCAGCGTTGTACCCCGAGCCGGCCATGTTGAGGCCCTGCCTCTCCTGACCAGTGCTTACGCAAGCGGCGGCAGCCTGCTCGAGGTCGGTCACGACGCCCGAGCAGTTCCTGTCCTGCGCCGCGCCGCGAGTGTCGGCCGCGTTGGTCTCAGTCGCCAGGGCTGCGCGCTCCCATGGGCCGCTCGCGAGCGCCGCGAGCGCAGCGCCCGCAATCACAACCTGGGGCTTCCTGCCCGCCCCAGCACGCTTCCCGCCACGGCCTCCTTTGGGCT